CAAAAAATTGAAGTTACCGCTCAAGTGCATTATCCGCTTTTAAAATTCGTAACTTTTAATCTGACGCAAGTAGGAAGTTTCCACTTTCGAATTCTATAGAAAACAGTTGAGTCTGAAAACTCTGAAAATTTCATTCACATTGCTTGAAACACTGAGTTTTACCGGCTTGCTACATGTAAACCATGTACATGTTGCTACCAAAAAACACACTTAAATCAAAACACTCGGAAATGTTCACTTAAAGTGCACCAAATATATTTTTTCAATAATTAATAATGTTGAAAATGAACCTATTCAAGCTGCTCTCCTTCAACTGCACTGCACTGCAAGCTCTTCTACAAAAATTCGCAACTTCCTAGCTGGAGCAAGTAACAACTTGAAGTCCTCACAGTTCATTGCAAACTCTTCAATCTGACATCGCTGGAAATTTAATTAATATCGCACCGAATGCTGATTTTCTCCAACTTTCTAATTGAAGATTGTTTTCACAGAATCGCAACTAGCAAATGGAAAATCTCGAGTAGTTTTGGTCGTTTTTCCTGATTAGGATGCGGTGCGAGTGGAAGTACATATTAAAATATAACAAATCATGAATCCGTTATATAAGTCGAACCGAGTCGAACGATTAATGTCGGATCGAAATGGAAACGAAACGAAAAACTWAATGAAATGCTTCATAGATTTTGGAGACATTCGTTTTCACGGGTGTGTGCAGACTGGTAGGCGGATTGTTTTCCTTTTTAAGAAATCGATTGGTACACGATGGAGCGTTAATGAGAGCCGATTGCTTTGTCGTCATTTTGTGCTTGAATAAACCCTCTTGGTAGGCATTCGACTCGAATTCGACACGTTTGTGCAACATCAACAGCTAACACCAAAATCCGCAATTTGGATTATTTTCTCGAAGAAGTTTTCTCTTCTTCAACGCAAGACTTTCTTGTGCAGGTACAACTGAGTTACAATACAACTAATCCATCTCTTGGTTTGAGAAAAAATATTCAAATAGTTGACGAACAAAAACGACAAGATAAAACTGGTCATCTTCCATCTTCTTTCCAATTCACACCTTAATAGTGACGGCAGGAAATGACGCAATAAAAACTAGTAGTCGATATTCAGCATCTGCTTCTCTATATCAATCAATCGAAATAGATAGAGCGCGATCCATTGAAGCCAAACGTGATACAGCAGATCGATGGATTCCAATAAGCAACCACTCTTGTTTTTGATTAGCTGCCAAAGCGCAGCCATATCGTTCAATTCCATTCACCGTGGAACGATAATCATCCTTAATGCGCCAAGTCAAATCAATTTCTTCATTTCGCTACCTGAGAAAGATCAATTTTTCTGTATCTGAGCTTGACTTGGTTGCAGCAGATGCAAATGAAACTTGTCTGTGTCTCCGGTCAATGTTTCCTCTTCGAGAATAGACAAATCAAGAGTTTTTCGTTGGAAAAGCAAAAAATCCCTTTGGATGATAGAGTTAAGTTTGTAAGTTTTTCTAACCGATAGAAGAGTTGGCACGTAAAAAGTCGGCAATTATCAATATTCATCCTACCCGCTTACCGTAGATTGCGTGCACCAATCTAATGTAAGCGGGCGGGTATGATGAATATTGATAATTGCGGACTTTCTAAGTGGTAGACACTCTGTCAGTCTTCTATCGGCTAGAAAAAAGACACTTGACTAAGTATGCGCATTTTTAAAGGCCCCCAACATGAAAACTTGTTGCTTCCGAAGCCCGACACGTGACGATAAATTATTCTCAACTTACCTCTGATTGCAAGATTGGAGTCGCATCCTGCAAAGATTTTCGACGGGGCTTTGCGATATAAGAGGCGCATGGAGGGAGGTAAGATGGTCAAAGTTTAAGGCGATTAAAACTTCAAAAGCTTCTGCAGGGAGCGTCTGTTGATGACTTCAAACATGCTTAATCTTATTTGAGACTAAAGGAAAGATGAATGAAAATGTCCTGATGCTTTTTGCATTGATGGCGATAAACAAAACAGCCGCAAATACAGGATGTAAATTGGATGAAGTCTCCGTACCTATACATATGATCGAATTTTTCCATTTTTTCCAGAAATGGACTGCGTCAGGAAGATCAGAAATGGACTGCGTCAGGAGCCAGGGAAGCACTAAAGCGATTGGACTTTGTAACGAGGTATTTTTTTGAATCGGGAAACACCTTTAACTTTTGAAAAGGCAAACGCAAGTGCCAAAAGTGACAAACGTCTAATCGCGGACAGTGCGCTGTTGCCGCGTGGTAGTAATATTAGACGTCATGCCTGTCAGGCATTTACCCATGTTTCCTATAGATGTGAATGAAAAATTATTGTGCCTAATTGATTTTCTTTTACTGTTTTGGCCGCCCAATGTTTAATAAATAAGTTATTGCAACACAAACCACCGAATTATAGATATCTAGCACGTTTAACACGGAAATAATGCAGTTTGGACAGATGGATAATCATCTTTACCTTGCTTCATTCCGGTAAATAGCTTGACAGAAATAGCGGATAAAGAACAGATAATTGACGTCATATATTACTACGGCACGGCAACAGCGCGCGGAGCCCTTTCAACATGAACCATCACTTTCTTTAAAACTTGGACATTTAGTTGAAGTTAGACAACAACGTGCTTGTGATAAGGTTTTTGTCTCCTGTTCTGCTAGACGATGGCCGGTGAAAAGCAAATTTGGCACGCGTGAACCGATGCAGATCTTGGCCGAATTCTATTGATAAAGTCGCGCAAAAAAAAAAAGACTTAGAATTGGTTTCTAACCTTTGCCAGCTTTCGAATTATCGGTGCAGCTCGATTAACGGAGAAAACGGTAATTCGGCACGGATGTAGTGGGCATTAGGAGCGATCTCAATTACTCGTTTGAGCGCGCGAGAAAAAAAAGATTAATTTTGCTTAGCGTCGTTTTTCTGTGACGATTTTAATTATGTGAAAACATTATTACCAACCTAATGAGTGTAAAAGTACGTTCGACTCCATTTAATTTGAACCGAATTTCTCGCTGTTTTCAACAGGCGTAAAATTGAAAAAAGAAACACCAGACAGCAACGTAACTGGCGCAATATTTGCCATTGTCATTAGTTGTCATGTTGCACAAGTTGGCAACGGTGTAACGTTCGCACTTGGATGCCAGCACGCACAGGGTGGCTCAAAAAAAGATCACTTACCATGCGGTTCCTGTTTATATGAGCCCTGCGAGCCGTTGCTGCTGCTCGGCGAGGTTCGTTTCGGTTTGCCAAAGGACAGATTCCCGAAATTGCTCTCCAGATGGAACGGCCTTCTGAGACCGACGGGCCCAATCATCGGATAGGGATGCGAAGGATCTGCAAGGAGTAAAACTCTCAATAATTCCGCACTCATCACTAATAGATGGACCAATAATAGGCTCTTTAGGGGCCCCGGAAGCTGTCGCATGACAGTCGGGCAATTACTTCCGGTGTTGGCCATTTCCGCCACCGGCCATTGCTGAATTATTTGTAGAATTTTGCCCGCGTCCGCCACTGGATTTGATGAACGGGACTGATCTGTTAATGATTTGTCGTAATTAGAATACGGGATTGTCCCTTCGGCGTCATTATGAGAAAATGGAATTGGACTAGGGCGACAATTGCGTTTCGGCTGCATCCATCACCAATTTTTCCATTGCGCTTACGGTGAAAATTGCCGATAAAACAGTAAACCGTTTTTTGTGCATAACTTTTGAACTGACGATGCCATTGAAAACAGCTTAATACTTTGTTTCAAAGCATTAAACAGACCTACAATCTGAGACAAACTAAGTTAAAATCCGCTCATTGGTTTACTCAAAAAAAGGAAAAACCGCCGATTTTAGCGGTTTTTTTTAAATTAATTTTTCTGGCTGCTTGTAATTGTTATTAGATTCTTATCCTTCCTGGGTCTGAGTCAAAGTGTGAAGTAAAAAGAATATCGTTTATTTCATTACGTTTCGGCGAGACAACAGCGCCATCATCAGATTTAAAATTTACATAAACTCGTGATTGGTAAAAATCAACGTTCTTTTAGGTCTTTGCCTTCTTGAAACCTTAAATTTGTCTGTCGAGAACCAATCATGAGTTTATGTAAATTTTAAATCTGATGATGGCGCTGCTGTCTCGGCGAAACGTAATGAAATGAGCGATGTTCAAAATTTCAGATTTAAAATTTACACAAACTCATGATTGGTAAAAATCAACGTTCTTTTAGGTCTTTGCCTTCTTGAAACCTTAAATTT